ACTTCTTATGCTTCAAGGCATTAGAGCCCTCAAAGTTTTCCCGAGGGGCACATACTTCTTTTATTTTCTATCTCGGGTGGATGACCAGCTATTTTATGCAATCGATCCCATTGCTCTCGTTTCCATTCCTTTCACTCCTTCGCGACGCTTGTCATGGCATCTGGCAGCAGGAAGTCCATACAGGCGTAAGGCTGCTAAGGTCCACACCGGCGAGTAATCTAATGCGGATTTTTCTGTGAGTTTAAAGACGTCTGGCCAACATTCCTAGATGATGTTATTCAATGTGTTGGCTGGAGAAAACATAACAATACCGGAGTGCGCCATCGTCAGCTGCCGAGAGCTAAGAAACGAAAGTTTATAGATTACTTTTTACGTTACGGATACATGATTTCTCCCTGCGGCCTTACGGATACATGATTTCTCCCTGCGGCATGAACAAGAAATTTTATGAATGTACAACTCCTTGCGTTATTTTTTTCAAGTTTACACGTCCAAGAATGAGGATATTCAGACAGCTGAGGGGGCTAGGACGGGCAAAGTTCCTTTCCTATAATTTGTATAGTAAAGTATGCAATGGCTGCTGACCGAGGCGTAATGGTAAAATCTAACTTCCGTTACAAAGTAGGAGACGTGCCTCACCTGTCTTCAAGATTTTACCGAACTTTTATCTCATTTACGCAACTAGCCTCTCGCCCTCCCTCCTACCCCCCCCTGCGCCTAAAAATGCTACCCGGATCCCACCGGACCGTAACCTATCGAGCCCCTGCTGTGTGTTATTGTAAGGAAGCGCTGCCTTTCACAGCGAAGTCCTGGTTATGATACCAAATAATGGATGCATGGACATATTTTATGAAGGACCTAATTGTTTGTATGCGAGACGAGGTCGGGGCCACCGCGCGTGAGCTCCTATTGATTTAGTTGACGTTGACTCGCTCTCTCCAGCCTCGCTAGAAATGAAAAGCTTCAAGATGTGCATTCGACGGGATTCGGTGCCATCCGTCGCGAGGGGCGACGAATGCGAATTGACTGAAAATCCTCAAATTCCCGACAGGCTTTACCAGAAAATCTCTGTTCGGAAGTCGGCTTTTGGTGAGCTGGTCAGCCGAAAGACGAGGAGCTGCTAAGTTTTCCTTTCAAGTCCTCCACCCCATCTTGAAAAAGTCGAATCTCACGGACATATAGTATGCATCGCACCGTGCTTCGGGGAAGAGTTTTAGCGGCGGCTTCCGTCTCCCGTCTTGGAGGCGTGGCGCATCGGTCTGCGCCAGTATTTTTGCACTTGAGGGCGCAAGTAAGGCAGTACACCCGGGAAGGCGATGGCGACAACCCTGCACCAGGGGAGAATAAGTCATGGGTACCGGTTGAGGACGCCTCTCTACAGAAAGTGACTCGACAAGCACTGGTCCATGAACTAATGCAAGTGCAAATGTCCACGGCGAATCAGGTGGTTCCTTGGTTTTTAAACCAGATGCCGTCCTCCTACTTTCGACAAATCCCAGAGGAAGTACGCGTCAAGCACTTGCAGGCCATCTGCGCCTTGCAGGACACGGGCAACAACACCAATATCATCCTTAAGTCTGACAACCCTGATGGCCGCCGCGAGATGACGTTCATCCGATCGGGCAACTTCACGGGCCAGCTCCGGGAGATGATCTCACTGCTCCCTCGGGACTTCGGGCCTCTCAGTCGGGTCAAGGTCTTCACCTCCTCCGACGAGAGCCTGGTGCTCAACGTTTTCACGGCTGATTCTAAGGCAGATGACGCTTTGGAATCTTCGGCTCAAGATCGAGAGGCGATCTTAAAGTACGCAGCTGAGGTGCAGGCAGGCCAATACCAAGGCGACCCTCGCCATGCCGCTCCCTCCCCGAGACTGGAGCCCGGGCCCCTCAATGCCTACATTGACCTCTGCACGCGATTTCACGTGGCCACATCCAATCCTCGGCGTTTTGTGCGCGTCAAGCAGCTGTACGACAAAATTGCAGGCTCTGAAAATTGTGCTGTGGACGTGGAGGCTTACGAGCCCGACACGTCCGCCAAGGACTCCAGATTCTGGGTGAGCCTGGCACAAACCAACGTCTTGCCCCGCGTAGGTCTCGATAAGTGCCTGAAGCTCTTCAAGCTCCACAACCTGGACGTCCTCCGCTGTCACATGGACCGCGTCAACGACCCGGGCAATGGTCAAGTCTGCCTTCTTCGGATGCTCGTTCAGCTCCACGACACTGACCAGGAGCCCTGGCCCCTGGATGGGACGGAATGGACCACTCTCAAGCACGAGCTGCGCCGAATCAAGTGGCTGGATGACGCGACCATTGATCGTAAGTGTGTTGCTCCGATTTGGCCTGCACCCCTCCCATTTTTTGACTCAGCTAGACGAGGTCGCCCCTCCTCGGGCCAGGCATTTCTTTATAACAGAACGACAATATCTGTTACATTCATGGCTAACCAAATGATCGCATCTCTGATCCGTCCTTTAATCAGTTGCCACCACCAAGTGTCCGGCTCTCGGATTCGACCGCGCCGAGATAATCGTCGCCCTCGGGCACATGCTGCACGGGGTCCTCGCCAAGCAGAATCTGTGGGCCTTCTCCAAGGCCAGCATTTCCACCAAGCTCTCGGACCCGCGTATCGTCGTACACGCTGCAAAGATTGCGGATTTGTTTGCCGCGAGATTTGACCCTGCGCATCCCCTGCCTCCCCAGGAGGTGGCGGACCGCGCGTCGGCTCTACGCGCGGACGTCCGTCAAAGCGTGGAGGACAGCACCACTCTTGTCCTTCTGGACAAAATGGTGGACGTGGTTGAAAGCACTTACCGCACAAACCTTTACATGCCTAACCGCTACAGCCTGGCGCTTCGCATCGACCCGAAAATCATGATGGCACCTGGTGAGAACAGAGTTCTGCCATACGGCGTCTTCTTCGTGCACGGCCGCCGATTTAACGGTTTCCACGTCCGCTTCCGAGATATCGCCCGGGGCGGTCTCCGCATCGTGAGTCCGCCGATGCCTGAGCAGGTTGCAATTGGTGCGTATAGAAGAAGGGGCCCGCGGTCAACTTCAATACTATTGCGTGTTAATGCCTGTATGAATTAACTTAACATGAATGACTTGCGGAGGTCGACATGGACCGTAGCGCCTTTTTGAGGTACTAGAAAGTGTGCGTGGAAAAGTTGACTTGTTTCTTCTCTGCTTCTTATCTGAATTTATCTGTGACTCGCAGAGTCGGCCAGGCAATTCGACGAGGCCTACGGACTTGCATACGCTCAGCAACTCAAAAACAAGGACATTCCCGAGGGTGGATCCAAGGCAGTGGTGCTGGTGGACACCGTGAACGTCCAGGCCAAGTCTCGAGATTTCGCCAAGCGAAAGGCCGTGAAAGGCTTCGTGGACGGGCTGCTTGACCTCATCACCGAGACGGAGGAGACCAAGGCCCATATTGTCGACTACTGGGGCCGCCGCGAGTACCTGTACCTGGGTCCCGACGAGCAGATCATCCCGCAGGACATCACGTGGATCGTGAACCAGGCACAGAAGCGGAGCTACACCAATCCTTCCACCTTTATGTCCTCCAAAGCCGACACGGGCATCAATCACAAGGTCTACGGCGTGACCAGTGAAGGTATCGCTGTCTTCTTGGCAGTGGGTCTGAAGCGCTTGGGCCTCAACCCGCACGAGGACCCTTTCACAATCAAGCTAACGGGTGGCACAGACGGAGATGTGGCAGGGAACATGATCAAAATACTCGCACGCGACTACGGGGCCCGCGCTCGGGTCGTGGGCCTGGCGGATGGCACGGCCGTCGTGGAAGACCCCGCGGGCTTGGACATGTCTGAACTCTTGCGCATGGTGGAGGGCTCGCTCCCTTTGTCGGCGTTTGATCCCACCAGGCTGTCAGACAGGGGCGACTTTCATACCGTAGATACCGAGGAGGGCATTCGTCTCCGTAACACTATGCACAGTCGGGTGGTGGCGGACGCCTTCATACCCGCGGGAGGGCGGCCCGGCACCATTGATGGCACTAACTACCGCGCATTCCTGCAAGGCCCTGATTACAAGGTGCCAAGCTCTCGCCTCATCGTGGAAGGAGCTAACATTTTCATCACGCCCGAGGCTCGCAAGAAGCTCTTCGAAGAGGCGGGAGTGCTCATCATAAAGGACTCATCGGCCAACAAGTGCGGGGTCATCTGCTCCTCGTTTGAGATCGCTTCCTCCATGCTTCTCACCGATGCTCAGTTCAAGGAGCATAAAGAAGAAATTGTCGCCCAGGTCCTGGAGAAGCTCCGTTATTACGCTCGTGTCGAAGCCGAGCTGCTTTTCCGAGAGTTCGCAACCTATCCCGGGCAGCTTCCTTACTTTAGTGAGCGCATTTCTAATGCAATCAACTTGGCCCGCGACACACTCACAGTAGGCCTTGAAAGTATGAGCGAAGAGCAATATCAGGACCTTTTGCCTCTTTTTAAAGAGCATTTGCCTCCCACAGTGGTTGCGCTCGGCTTCGATCAAGTTCGAGAAAAGGTACCTGCGCAATACATCACGAATGCCTTCGCTTGCTGCTTGGCCAGCCGCATTGTCTACCGGGAGGGAACCAAATTCTTCGAGTCTCAGCCCCGCGAACGCTTGGCTGAGCTCTGCTTGCGTTACCTCGATGAAGAGCGTGAAGTGCAGAGGCTTGTCCGGTGCCTAGAAAGCGGCAAGCTTGATCGTGACCAGTTGAAGACGGTTCAGAAGATTCTCGACGTGGGTGGGGTTCGTTCTCTTCTGTTTGCCTCAGAATAGTGAAAAAAATAGGGATACTACCATTGTAGAATGAAGTTTTGAGATGTGTTGGTGTCATCACTGTTAATGTGACTCCTGAAAATGTCTTCGTTTTCGAACACATCATCCGCATGCGAGCATATTCTATGCTGCGACGAGAAAAATTATACTTTAAACTTTGCCTCTTATGAGAAAGACGTAGCTTGGTTTGAACACGCGATTTTATTTATAGAATAGGAAAGCACACAAAAACGATCTACAATCACAGCTCCACCTGACTCTGTCTTCGGTGAAGGTGGGCTACGCCAATCCATATTTATTCACATCTATCATTTACCTGCTGAGGTGCTTGTGCAGGTTATTACGCCGCATTGTATAACCAAAAACTCATCACAATGTCTCAACCATCGCCACGTTGTAGCTTGGCGTGTACAAACACGCGCTTGAGTTCCTCTCTCGTCGCTCTGTTCTTGGATAGAACAGTGGCATACTTGCATTCTTGTACATGAAAGCCAGCTGTAATTGCCAGCTGATTGATATCTTCCGCCGTGAAAAAGTACGCGAGCGTGCCGTCTGCACGTTTGTACAACTGTTGCCCGATCCTATTCCTGCTTCGTACCATTTTCGCATCACACCAACCATAGTCTCGAAATAAGAGCAATCCTCCAGGGCGTAAGGCTGCATAAGCACGGTGGAAGACGGCTTGATGCTCCTCCTTCCTGCCAATTGCCGAAAGCATGAAAGTCATCAGGACAAAGTCCATGCTTCCTGGAAGAACTAGATGACAAGGTATATCATTTTTTACCACGTCGCAGATGAAAGCTGTCAAGCGCTGCTTGTAAATGTCTCCGAGCGCTCTATCTAATAGATGCAAGGCTGTGGTGCTAAGATCGCAGGCAAAACATATCAAGTCGGGGTTTGCCTCCATAATGGCTGCAAGGCTTGAGCCGTACCCACATCCAATCTCGAGCAATCGGCACTTGACGAAATTATTTGTGGCTGCGTATTCCCCAGCCTTGTCCAGGAGTTCCGGAAATTCCAATACCAAGTATCGTCTTTTTTTGAAAAAAGTAGCTTTATCGGAGTGTCGATGGAAAAAAGATTCCCATGCTTGTACTGGTGGAGACTCAGCTCGGACGATGTCTTCCCGAGGAAGGCAAGAGACCGTGGCCAGGGTTGGTTCGGTCGACCTTCGATATGCATCGAAATCGAAATCATGGTCATGATATGCTCCTGCGACCGCACACTTATCGCCAGACATAAAACTAGACAGTGAAGGGGCATTAGAGGGACATGAGACTATGCATTCGATGATTCTATGCGGAAGTATCAAGTTGAGCTCTTGCGAAGTGAAAGGGTAGCATAGTGGTACATATTTTACAATGATACCGTCCAAAATAGTAATCTATCGCGACCAAAACACAGATCCTGATTCGCTTGCTCCAATTCTAGGGGAAAACGACACGACTGTCCGACGCAACAGACACTGACTGACTTTAACTTCCTTACTTACTGGCTTTAACCTCCCGGCCGCAGGGACCACCACGTACTTCTCCGCAGGGCGCGGAGCGTGATAAAAGACAGAGATTGATAAGTCACACGAAATGTACAGAACACATAGATGTAAACTTGGCTGAAAAGGTGATGACGACACCAAAGCTTTGGCGTTTTATCGCAGCTTTGGACCTTATTTTTTGCACGACTCCTGCCATGTCTTTTCTTCATGTACCGCTTCAACTGAAAATTTCTGAGCCCGTCTACGAGAACCAGGGCAGAAGACGGGATCAGGACAAAAATTGGGGGGGGGGTAACCAAGTCTACGTCAAGCATCAGGCCCCGGCTTCCAGTTATAATCAAATTCACAGGAATTCCTTCCTATACTTGACAAAGTCTCCACTCCTCCGAGCGCACGGAGCCGGTCATGTTCCAACCACTGAATCTCTTCACGCCCTGGACTTGTCGGCGGCAGCCAAAGGCCAGACGGTTGAAGAAGTATTACTCCTGGCACAACTGCCGAGGGACATTGTTGCCAAAGCGTTGACATCTTTTCCAGGACTTCGCGATTGTCATCCGCATGCTGAAGTCCTCGGCCGACTGCACCACCTTAATTTCATCATCCAACAAGGAGTGTATTCCTTCTCTGAGGCCTTGCATTTGATTGCCAATCAACCGCAGTTTCTGGAAATGCCTTTTTCGATAGTTTATGAAGACGATGATTTGGTTGTCATCAATAAACCCAGTGACGTGCGAATGGATGTGCCCCAGCGGAAAGGCGTCCAAGGGCAACGGAAGTGGCCCATGGAGTTTACATGCTCAGATTGGCTCGATACTCCGGGGCTGATTGAGCCCCCGCTGGAAAAAAAACGATTCTGCCACAATTTAGATTCGGCCACCTCTGGCATCCTTTGTGTTGCTCGAAACCAGGCTGCGGCCGCGCGAGTAGTGGAGCTGTTTTCGAAGCGGATGGTGGAAAAAGAATGTACGTCGAATCCCACGTGCTTAACTCATGTCGTTCTCGTGGTAGGCACTATACTATGAGTCTAGATACTCGCCTGATTTCTTCTCGTAATCAATCAGAGACTTATCTAGGCTCTTCATCCTTTCTGCTTTCCTTCAGACCTTGCGGTCGTGTTCGGCCATGTGTCCTCGACCGCCGACAGCGACACGCTTTTTATCGATGCTCCAATCGAAAAAGATCCGCATAGTGATTTCAGGATGCGAATCGGACCAGAGGGAAAATCTGCGCAGACACAAGTAGAGGTCTTGGAGAGAGGATTTCTGAGGTTGCAAGGGCCGCATTTCAACGCTCCCGTCTCAAAACTCAGACTAAAGCCTATCACTGGTCGGCGTCATCAATTGAGGGTTCACACCATGTCCTTAGGCCACGGTATAGTGGGGGACACCTACGTAGGGGACTGGGCGAGCTACCGGATGATGCTGCACGCGCACAAGCTCGGCCTCCCCATGGCCCCCGACAAGCATCTACAGCTGGTCACGGTGGACCCTTTCCAAGCGCTGATTTCTCCACAGCCGCTGACTGGGTGACAAAATAAGGGAGACAACGAGTCTCCACCTCACCACGTGTCTCAGAGCAGACAAGCTGGTGTGTTACGATTGAGGTATGCAGCTGTTAAACAACAAGGTGTGACAAAGAAACAACACGTCAACTTTTTCATGCCACGAAACTCCAATTGTATAACGAGGAAGAATGCGGCCTTCTTGCACGAAGGCAGAGATATTTTTTTTTCCAGAAGACTCTCAGTGAAGCGTCCCTATGGACTCTCTCCCATCTTTCCCTCTCCCGAGCACCCGCCACGGCATGCGTTCGCCATCTTCTCAGCATCACCTTCAGAGGACGGCGACGACTCGAGGGCGTTCTGCTACAACGCTGTCATCCCTTAGAACATGGATAGATGCGACGAGTCGCCCTTGTCCCCGCGAGGTGCGTTCAAGAGCGTAAAATTCTTCTCGAGGATGTCGAAGCACGTCAGGTAGGCCGAGTGGCACAGCTCGACATCTCGCTTGAAGATAGTGAAGAATTTAGCATCCAGCGCCACCAAATGCTCAAGCTGGTCAGGAAGGAACTCGCTCTTCTTGACGGACTTCTCCTCTGTCTGGGACTCGCTACCCTTCGTCTCGTCTCCGTCCTTGCCGCCCGTGGTGCTGCTCTTGCTCTTGCTTTCTTTGACGTCCGTCGATGTGCGCGCCACCAACTTTTCCACAGCGCTCGCTCGCTCTGAGAAGTAGTTCGGGAGCTCGTCCAGCCCCTTGTTCAAGACCTCTACCTTGCCCTCAATCGTCTTCACCACCTCCAGTATCACAGCCACCCCGAAATTGCCCCCGTCACTGACTTTGGGCACTTTAAGCTTAAGCCACGTGCACACTAGATGCAAGTCTTCCACAGTGCGGAGGAGCACATCACGCGCTGTGCCCAAAGACCCGGACACTTCGGCGTTGGCGGCCACCGCAGCCCGAGAGTGCGTCATAACCTCAGAAACGCTCTTCCCGAAGGGCGCTGCCTGGAGCACGGCCTCCACCTCGGCGATGCGTGCAGGCATCACGCTGCGCAACTCCATGATTTTTTTCTACAGCCACGAACAGAAGACGTGAGTATTGGTTAGGATGGAGATGGAGTGGTGGCACTTCATCAGAAAGAAAGTCTTCGAGAGGCCCCAGGACAAAAAGAACACGCGACACAATGTCGACGTCAATGAGGGGCGAATACATTAAATTTCATTATGTTGAACGAACAATTAACTAAATGGCGTGCTGGCTGATAATGGTACGCAAAGGGCTACCAAAAACTCGCACATCACGTTGGCACGTAGTCGAGGAAAAGAAGGGGAGACTGCCCCCCCCTTTCCTGTGGACATACCTGATACGTTTCGAGAAATTCCTTGGTTGCCATAGTATGTGTGCGGTGCTCGAACCTGTGTACAAACCTTTGTGCGCAATAAGTATCGTGAAAAAAAAAAATTAAAAGCCCGTTTCCCCCCAACGACGGGCGGCTTCTTCGGCTTCTTCACCCCCGTGGCACGTACACTTGCGGCGGGAGGGGCGGCCACACAATGGGCGCCGCCGAGAGACGCACTCGGAATTCGCACACACATGAATACGCGTGGACTCACTTTTTGGTCTCTACCGGCACGCATTTTTTGGCAAACGAGTACAGGGTTCAGGCCCCCGGAGACGAAATCGCTTCCTATCCTGTCTGCCCGTCTCAACCTGTGGGGCGACCCGTCGATCTTACTCACCTCAACACTATGCTGCGACGGCCTCTCCTGACGGTCTCGGCTCAGCCACGACGCTTTGTGGGAGTACTGATGTCCAGATTTGGCACGCGCGATGCCTCAACGTTGGTGGTGGCCGAACACTCCGAGTCCAAGGGGACTCTGAGCCCCAGCACGCTGTGCACCATCACGGCCGCGGGTCAACTGCAGAATCCTGTGACGGTCCTGGTAGCTGGAGGGAAGGGCGTCAACGCAGTGGCTCAGCAGGCTGCCCAGGTTCCAGGTGTCAGCAAGGTCCTTGTGGCGGAGCACGCTGCCTACGAAAAGGGGATAGCCGAGAATCTCAGCCAGGCGGTCGTGGCCACACACAAAGCTGGTGATTATTCGCATATTTTAGCTCCTTCCTCCATGCGCTCCAAGAATTACGTCCCCAGGGTAGCAGCCTTACTGGATTCGCAGCCTATCACCGACGTGATCGCTATCAAGGACCAGGCTACCTTCGTGCGCCCCATGTACGCGGGAAACGCCATCGCCACCGTGACCACATCCGAGCCTCTGAAGATCCTTACAGTGCGCACCACCGCTTTTGAGAAGGCACCCTCCACAGGCGGAAGCGCGGCTACGGAGGTAGCACCGGCGGTGGCGAAGCCGGAGGCAGGCTTGAGTGCCTTCCTGAGTGAGAGCGTCAGTCAGTCGGCTCGCCCGGAGCTGTCTTCGGCCAGGGTGGTGATCTCAGGTGGACGCGGGCTCAAGACCAAAGAGCACTTTCAGATGTTGGAGGCGCTCGCTGACAAGCTAAAGGGTGCAGGTATACGTCGGGGTGGGGGGTCTGGCATGGCGGTGCCGGGTTGGATCGGAGGGGCGGGGGCCGGTCTGTCCTCCCAGTGCTTGCTCTCCTCGTCGGGGGGTTGGATTTTTGTGGTGACCACGATTCTCATATCATTGCCACTCACGACACAGTGGGCGCCTCTCGCGCGGCCGTGGACGAGTTTCACATGCCCAACGAGCTCCAGGTAGGTCAGACCGGGAAGGTGGTAGCGCCGGACCTCTACTTGGCTGTGGGCATCTCGGGCGCCATCCAGCATCTCTCAGGCATGAAGGACAGCAAGGTGATCGTGGCCATCAACAAGGACAAGGAGGCGCCCATCTTCCAAGTGGCCGACTACGGGCTTGTCGCGGACCTCTTCCAGGCGGTCCCGGAGCTCACAGACAAGGTTTGAGTTGCGAGAAATACTGGGTGAGGGGACGGGGACGTCGGGCCGTCTGGATGCGCTCGCAGAGGCTTGCGAGCTTCCTTGCGTGCAGACTGGCACAGACATGTGCAGAAGCAGGTCTCCTTAATGATGGGAAGAGTGGTATGTGAAAATATTCGAGCTTAGTAGCTGTGTATGGAATACAAAAAAAAATAAAGGCCAACAAGGAAGCAAATTTTCTTTCCGCGACATCCTTTCTCGAGTGTACAGTCTGGAGCGCTGCGAGCCTTATGTTGTCAGCCCGACACGGAAATCTAATGCTGAGATTTGAATATGAAACGCAC